ACCAAATCTAGTTCCTTAAATCTGTTCTTCACTTCCACTGTGTATTCATAAGGGATTTGGTTTAGATTCTACCTGACTAGCCCAGTGGTTTTTCCTACTCTCTTCATTTTAAGCTTGAATCTTGCTATAAGAAGCTGATGCTCAGAGCCACAATCAGCTCCAAGTCTTGTTTTTGCTGACTGTGTATAGCTTCTCCATCTTTGGCTGCAGAGAATATAATCAATCTGATTTCGGTATTGCCCATCTGGTGATGTCCATGTGTAGAGTCACCTCTTGGGTTGTTGGAAAAGAGTGTTTGATGACCAGCTTGTTCTCTTGACAAAACTCTATTAGCCTTTGCCCTACTTCATTCTTCACTCCAAGGCCAAACTTTCCTGTTGTTCCTTTTATCTCTTGACTCCCTACTTTAGCATTCCAATCCCCTACAATGACAAGAACATCTTTCTTTGGTGTCAGTTCTATGATCAGGCAACCGTAACCCATCCCCATCCATGATTCTGAGCGGGTGAAATAACAGAATAATTCCAATATTGTTAGATGAACATTTTCTGATTCTAGTAGACTGGAGCCAGTGAAAGAATGAGGTGATAATTGTAAAAATATCTTCTGTTGGGGGGATGGTGCGCTGGTCTTTACTTTAAAATTCAAGACTATCGATAACTACTAGGTTACGATTTTGTTTAAAAAGGGGCATTGGTTGTGTGTTTTGATGTAAACCTGATAATTGTAATAAGCACATTCTTTATTAAAACGTAATTATAAAAATAACTGAATTTAGAAATGCTATTATGTATGTTGGGTGCAGCAAAAACAAGGAAGTTGAGACAAATAGATCCTCTGGCAATAACTTTATTATAAGCAACCAACAGGCTACAGAAATACCAAACAAACTTTTTGCGTTTTCAAACACTTCTTTAGTTTGGATAGTAAGAGAAGAAAGAGGAAGAGGAATCTTTTTGTAAAGCCCCCAAGTCTGATTGGTAACAAATGGTACTAAAAGAGATTAACATTGTTTCCTTTTCTCAAATCTTCCTGTTGTCAGAAAAACTTTAGCTTTTAACACATGCTAATCTAAGGCTACCACCATATCCTCAGCAACCTGTGAATAAGGCTTATGAAACCCACTATCCCACCATTTTCCATTATTTGGTGGACAATGTTTACATTTTAATTTATGCTAACTTTCTCCCAAACAACATGTAGAAAGTTTAATTTTTTGGACTGGAAATTGCAGATTCCCTCAGCCAGCATGGCCATGTTGTTCTAGCACAGTAATTAATGAGACAGGGTTAGCTGTGGTGCCCTTTTGAGTAGCCGCAGTGGCTGGGAAATGCCAGGTGCTGTTCCAAACACTGCTCCCCAAACTCAATTCAAGGTAACAAAAAAAGAAAAACTCCTGAGTTCTCATTGAAACCATTGGGAACATTTAATTGTGACTCTAAAGGCTCATTGATTTTCAATTTAAGTTAATTGGTCTGCATCCACTACACAATGGTCAGGCCATCCATTAAAACCAGCTTCATTTCAACAAATCTTGAATAGATGCCAATTTCATGAGGACATTTACCTGGGCACATGGAAGGCCTATGGTGACTTATAGGTGTAATATAAGATGTATGCAGCAAAATTATATTGTAAATTTATAACTGGATTATAGTGAATACTACATTATTTACCTCTGCTTTTATTTTTATTTCATTTGTATTTTTACGTTAAATCCGCAAAAAGAAAAAGTAGAAAAAGTTTGTTGGTCTGGAACCAACCCCATGTATGTATATGAAGGGTTCTTCAGAAAAGATGTGTATGTTCCAAGCAGTAGCCAGTTCATGCCTGGCACCATATTGCACATGAGCTTTCCCTTATCAGCTGCCCTCCTGAGGTTTTCGACAGCACCCTCATAATCTTCAGTCTGGGGCTGCGTGTGATGGAAATTGTCACCCAGAACGTCATGAGGATGTCAGGTAAGAGTAGGCAGCCATACATCCTGCTTTAGCTGACCTGAATATAGTCTTACTGCTCCTCAATTTGCATTATTTTACTTCTCATACTGATAATTATTCCTCTTGATTGAACATCAGTGTAATGTAATGGGTCCTGGGTTCGAATTCCCAGGTACCTATGACACTCACTGGGTCACCTTGCAGCTTAAACAATCATGCAAAATGATGTAAGGCTAAAATGTGGATGTGCAAGAGAATTTGGCTACTGTCTTTAAGGAAAGAGAGGCAATATAACACCTTCTTGACCCAAAATGAAAATGATTTGTTTTGTAGGGATTGATCCAAAATGTTTTGAAAATGAATAGTACTTGAAAAGTAATCTTGTGTTACTGTTAGGTGAAAAACCAGGAAGAAAGTTCCAAATCTATGAATGAGTGTACTGTATTTGCTTTCGAAAATATTTTATACCACGTTAAAAATACCAAACATCACTTTACAAATTAAATACATTAATGTGTATATGTTTGTATTTAATAATATCCAGCAATATATTTAAAATATAATTGCTACAGACTATCAGAACTAAATGCCAACAACAGAAAGAAAAAAATCAAATACGAAACAATATATAAACAGTGCAATCTCGAAGTAGCTAAAACCTCCAGGTTAATGTGCTTCTGGTCTTTAAGATTGCATGAATTTTTCTTGAGATTTATGGATATCTCAGATTATTTTTTTTAAATCCTTAGTAAGAATTCACTTTGGACCTTTCTAGAAAGCCTAAATCGACCATTTCAGTAGGAAATGGAAATAAGCCCGGAAGACCGCATGTATCCGATTAACCTTTCCTTTTTATGACTGCGTCTTTTGAGCTCTGTCTAAATGGAGCCAGTCCTCCAC